AAACCACAGACAAATAAATACCTGGAGAGTCTTTAGTGTTGCAGTAAATGGGAAAACTTTCTACAGTAATCTCAATGTCAGAACTGGTGGTGTGACTGTGTATGCACCACAGTGGCCTCTGTCTGGGCGGACACAAATCAACCTGACTCCTGATGTAAAAAGTTCTGACGGTCCCTTGATCAATGCCGGTGAAGTCTATCAGATTCTGCCTCTTGGTGGAAGGACTCTTACAAGAGACGGTAGCTTATTTTCTGACACTGGTTTCAGCATCCATCATAATAATCCTTTTTTTACTGGTTTTAATAATGTGTGCTCTTTGGATTTCTCAGTGGTGGAGAACTAGCAAGAAGCTTTGACAACCCACCACCTGATTGGACAGTTGATCCATGCTTGCCCTCGGAGAACTCGTGGACAGGTGTTACTTGTTCTAAAGATATTATGGCTAGAGTTGTCTCTCTGTAAGTTGTGCTAAATTTACTAGTATCACCTGAAGCAGCCCCTTGATTGCAGTTAGTATACTAAAATGAAGTGCCAACTATAATATAACACATATTGGGTTACTTATATAAGATATTGTGTCCTCTATCTCCTTTTTCTTCCTTTTTTTCTTAATGGTATGAAGGGATCTTACAAACTTTGGGGTATCTGGCGTTATAGCTCCAACTGTTGACAATTTAACTGCACTCCACCATCTGTAAGTAAAGTTGCTTCTTCAGTTATGCTGCCAGACTCTCCTGTTCATTGCTTGCAAGATGCAATGATTGTTATTAGTTGGAATCATCTGCTTGCAGTTGGTTAGGAGGGAATCAAATCTTAGGTTCCATCCCAGAGATGAATTCATTGGGTCGGCTTGAAACTCTGTACTGACTGTGTTCCCTGCTAAATTTTCTTCTCTGCTTTATTCAATTTATTGCATTAACATTCATCTGGTGTTGCTCATTATCCCAGGTAAGGCATTTGGAGAACAACAATTTTTCAGGGCCAATCCCCAATTCATTAGGCAAACTTGAGAATCTTCGTGAGATGTAAGAGTATGGTTGTATGCCAAAACGAACAAAAACAGAAATCCCTATGAAAGTGTCTCCTTTTTCATCTAAAAATTAACCTGATGGTTTCTGCATGTCGACAGATTCCTTCAGAACAACAATCTTGACAGTTCAATTCCGAGAGCACTACAAGAGAAAATGGGCATAAATCTTCAGTAAGAACAATTCAACATCTCTCCTTTGAGAGAGGCAGAAATTCTAATATGAGTCTGATTTGCTTCCTATAAAGCTTACGGTAAGGCTTTATTTCACTATTTGAATTGAACCAATGATTATTCTTCTGTTTCAGGGTGTCTCCTGGAAATCATCTATCAGCATAATGGTAATGAAGAACGATATAAGACACAACAACAAATATAGGATGGCATGGGCAATTATTGACCGTATCTTCAAAGCAGACTGCTGGGGACGGTGGAGAGAGATCCATCGGCTGCTTGTAACCTCACCTTGTAATTAAGCAGTGCTAGAATTTCTTGATCCTGCTTGGTAAATCAAATTGAGCTCAGGAAATGTTATAACTACACAAATCCTTTGTAGAGTAAAAAAAAAAAAAACCATATTACATTACATCAGATTATAATACTAAAACTACTTTGATAGTTAATGATGAAGAAGAAGAAGAGTGAGTTAAGTTATTAGCTAACAGCTTAACACTGATTTTTCTAGTAGTATTTCCTTTTTCTGAACAATTTTGATTTTGCACTGCCTGCCTTGAATATGACATTCAAACTTTTGTTTTTTAAATATTTTTTTTATACTCAGAGAATGTCAAATTAAATTTATCACTGAAATTAAAAAACACATTTTTATATTCACAAATCAAACCATTATACGTTATACATTATTATAGATTATTATGTCATGAAGCACGTACTTGCTTTCATTGATCAATGTCAGAAACATAACCTCCTTTCATTGCTCTCAAAGCCTTCAATTTCTCATCGTCCTTGTAGATTTCGAATTTCACTGATTCTGCTCTTTCCATCCAGCATGCTGTTTGCAGTACGCTTCTTAGGTGGTGGTGTGGGGATTTTGTTAGCAACAACCTTCGGTTGGTCAAGATCAATCATCAACTCCTCAGCATAATCTTCAAGATTAACATCTCCATGAGTTCGAGCATAATTCCTCAATGCCTCCCAAACTTCAGCAGTTGGCTCAAAAGGCAGTTTTTTCTCAATATACTCTTTAGCTTCATAAAGATGATCAGATTTTCCAAGAACACCTATAAGGCCCATATAATGCTTAACTCCTGGAGAATTCCATACTCATCTCCATCCATTGAAAATGTGTAACCCCTTCTTCTATAGCTTCAGCAATACCAGAACCTGACAGAAGTGTAAGGAAAGTCTGTTCATTGGGTTTCAACCCCAATTTCCTCATCTGCTCAAACAACTGCAACCCATAATCACCTGAGGCATTGTCTGCATACCCATTTATCATCAAATGCCAAGAATCCATATTCCTGTCAGGCATGTGATCAAAAACCCTACGTGCATCAGTCATGTTAGCACATTCTGCATACATTTGAATCACCTTATTGTTCAATCTGAGGTCACTCCTACAAGTCGACTGCAAGAAGTAATCATGAACTTTCTTTGCATCCTCAAGTGACTTGGGATTGCCAATTAACTCAAACAAAGACAAAAAACAATTGGCATCAGCTTTAACTCATTTATCCATCAATTCAATAGCTTCTTTAACTTTCCCGCTCATGACACAACTGCATTAAATTTGCTAATGAAGGAACTGGCTCAGGCTGCGTGTGCTCCAACATTTGCCCTTGATTCTGGCTCTTCAGGCTCAATTGACTAGGGTTTTGACTCCGTAGATCCCTTTCATTAAATTTTATACCTTGAGGGTACCCTTGATTTTGGTTATTCCACTGATTTGGGCTTCTGGGCATTTGTGCATTCATCTGATTAGCATTTGCGTATTGAGGATAGCTCCGATTCTGCTGGGGGTTCCACTGATTACGGTTCTCTCGTTGAGAATAGACTTGTCCTTGATTAGGATAACCTTAGCTGGCGTTGGGCTGGTCCGCGACCTATTGCCATGAGAGACATTTTTTTCTTGGCTTCTTTTTCAAACTGGAAAGGAAGAGGCGTGAATAAAACCCAGATTCATTTTGGTAAAATTAAAAATAATAATAAAATTTATTATAATTATGATTCAAAATATTTATTGTAATTGAGATTCCAAACAAATTTTAATAAAAAATTTATATTTAATTAATTTCATTAAAATTGATATTTAAATTATATTTAATATATAAAATTATAATAAAAAGAATAAGATAATATTATAAATAATATTAAATTATTTTATTTTATTTTATTTATATTTGATATATAAAAATATTATGATAAAATAATTTATTTATTTATCAAATTTATCATTTTTCATAATTTATATAATTTAAATTATTAATATAATTTTTAAAATATAATTAAATATGTAAGTTTAATTTTATAAATAAAAAATAATTTTTTATTTAAAAAAATTGAATAATTTTATAAAAAAAAATTAATCGTTATTATAATCTTTATCTTTATCTTTAAATATAAATTAAATATGATATAAAATAATTAATATCATATCCCATTAATAATTTTATACCTAAAACATCATCTTAAATTCAATTAATAGTGATTAAAATTTAAATACATCTTTAATTAATTTAAATGTATTTCACCGGAGATGCAATTGCATCCAAACATATGCTAATAAGCCTAATAAACCCTCGATGAGAGGAGCACGGTGGTGAAGGGACCAGGTGGTTTGTGGCCTATTTTATTTTTTGGGTGGTTAATATGGTCCTGGGACAGTCTGGGTGTCGGATTCGACGGCTCACTATCCATTTGGCTCCATTTCCGTGCAAAAACTAACGCAACGATGGACCTTTAATTTAAGGCGTAAGGCATACATAACCAAGGATTATTATTTGTTGAACCCGTGATTATGAGCCCGTTGCTTGGGTGGTGGAGAGACTTACATCATGATGTGAGTCTTATTTTATGATTAAATTTTTAAAAGTTTAATCATAAAATATAAAAATAGTTTCGACAAAATATTTTTTTTCAGCATTTAATGAAAGTTATGTTATAGAATAAGCAAAAAAAAAAAAAAAGCTGGTTTTTTTAACTTGGAAAATTTTAAAACTTGTACTTCGACTTTACAATTTGTAACTTGTAATAAACTATTGTTTTTTTTGGCCAAATGTAAGAAATTATAGTTTATTTATAAGCATCTTAGTGGGTTAAAGTCAAGTCAACAACCTGAGCTTGTTGTTTAGGCTTAATTAAGTGGGATAAAACTTACATAAAGTTTAATAAATAAAGTTTGTAAAGTTTTTTATTAGATATATATAAATAAAAATTTTAATAAAAACTTTGAACCGAATAAAGTTTAATGAAAAAATCAATAATATATAAAAAAAATTTTAAAAATATTATTTATAATTCAAATTTGATTGTTATTTATTTAATAATAAAAATTTTATCGATATTTTTATTAAAAATATCTACTTAATAAATATATTAAAATTTGTTAAATTTTTTAAAATTTTACATGTTTTATCTATGTAATGAGATTTTTTAAATTTTAATTTTATTTATATTTACTTATTTATAATAAAAAACTTTACCAACTCTACCTATATAATTTTATATAACTTTTTCTCTAATTACAGTTCGAGCTTGGTTCCAATTTAAAAATCTTCATCCAAATACAATTGTAAGCAAGTCATGCTTACAGCTTAAATGTCACAATATTGACAAATAAATTAAAAGAAATTTGATAGAGCAAGTCATGATTTAGTTTTGCAAGACTTGGAGAAGCGTTTCAGAAAGTAATTTTGAGGTAACCATTTTGTATCAATGCGTATTTCTTTCTCTTTTTGATTTTTCTGCTGCAAATATCATTTGGATAATTTAAGAATACACAGCAAACATGAAGCAAATACCGGTAGCATATGCACAACAGCGCATGACATCACAAGCACAAGCACAAGCACACAAACAGAGGCAGAAGAAGCAGCAGAGTAGAACAGAGCCAGTGCCAGCGATCAGACTATGAAAGATATCATGTTGCCATTCCCGGGATCACTATCGGAGCCACAGTAACACCACGCTTTTGTCTGTCCATGTTAGCTTCCCAACCTTCATTTTCAAACAACCAAAAAAAAAAAACATATTAAAAAAACTACCAAGTTTGAAGTCGACAACATGGGTGGTTTTCTGTTTCACTCTGGTCCAGACAAATCCAAATATAATTATTAACTAAGGTATATAATAATATGGGTTGATTTTATGATTAGATGATAAGACGTCGGAGAAGGATTTCTGCTCTAACTGGAATAAGGATTTATTTGATGCATCGGAAAATTTCAGTTTTGACAGCAAAGGGAGGGGAGACAACGCACTAGTCACTACCAATAAGCTAGAAAGAGAAATTGTTGTACACATGATCATGACTGAAAATATTGTTTACCTATCCCCATGTCAAATCCACGATTCTTGAGCTCTCTGTATTCTTGACAGAGAGCACATGCGGCGCAGCAGAAGTGAACCAAGCAGTCGGTACAAGGTTCCTCCGGTAAATCGTACTGGCCCCTTAGTTTTGAGCGATAGAAGCATGAATAAAAACATGCAAAACCAGTTAAAGACAGCAGGCCATACAGAAAACCCCTCGAAACACAAGCTGCAAAACACCCGATAGCCAACAAAAATATAATTTTAAACTAATTGAAAAGATATCATCAAGTTAAAAATCTTTCAATACGTAAACTAATTACATTTCGATCCTCTGTTCACGATCTCAGTAATCTGTCCAAAAGTGATGCAAGGACAGACGCAAGTAATCGCACCTGATAAATTTAAAAAAGACAAAACAATTCAAGGGTTCAGCTGAAATACATAATGATCAAGCAAGCTAATAAGTATTCATCTGCTTACAGTTTACAGGGTCATCGAAACAATGGCAAAGACCAGAAGTCCACTGTCCAGGTACAGGAGCAGTGGGTGCCCGATGAAAGCTGTTGGAAATATATGGATGGTGAACAGGATAAGGCTGTGTAGGGCTAGGGTTCGGAACTCCTGAAGCTGGGATAGGAACCATATGGCTGTCAGCTGAATAGCTCGGAGGATCTTGCACCGTAGGATACATGTTGTAGGATTCAATTTGGGTTTACCCTTAATGTCAGCTACAAGTTCTAATATATATAATACCGGCGGAAATTTGTCTTGTGTGGAAACAGTCAAGTGGTTAAAGATCAGATGAAGCTGGCTGCTGTGAATATCATGGTTCTGCAATGGCTTTTAAATTCTAGGAAGTAGGAAGTTGCATGGTATCTCTCTCCTTTCCACAACTCTTTACATTAAAATTAGGTGATGACTTGAGCATGTGTTTTTGTCCGCGTTCGATGCAACTTCGATGGAAGTTGGTTGGAAGAAGACCATCAACATTATTTAAAACTGACCAAGACTTGTGGAATTTAATATCGACTGGGGCTTTTCTTAATCGCAAACAAATGGCCAAGATGTAGCACTGAAAATGACAACTTTTCTCTTTCTTCTAAAGCCCATCTTGTTTCTTTGACTTTGTAATTGGTTGAAAAAACTGTGATTCGAACGCGTGGTTGAAATTGACAAACAAAATCGCAAATTTGGGCTTTGGACAAAAGATAAAGAGCAAAAAAAATTTGTCAGAAAAAAAAAAGGATTCGGGTTTCGCAAGTCTAAGTCGTTAAAAAGAGTTTTTTATGCTTGGGTTCACATAAATAGATTTTTAAAATAGTGAAAGATAGATACAGCCTAATAAATTTAAAGGATTTAAGTCTTAAAGTTTGTTAGGTTAGTAAGAAAATCTGGATTCATGAAAGAGCACGGAGTAATTGTGCTCTTATGCAACATTAAACAAAGTTTATCTGATAAATACAACAGCAAAGCAGTCCTAATCATCATTTATTTTGGTCAATGCCTACTAACAATTTGCGTCAAAAAAAAAAAAAAATAGAAAGCCAAATGGGAAATATACAGTTGTTGGATGATAAAAATATCAGACTTACTAGTTGTTATCAGAAGAAGGATTCAACTAAAACCCCAACTTGCAAATTTCAGCATTTTTAGTTTGGCTGGTTTTGCTTAACCCAAGTCAAATTAAAGTCAACAAAGAAACAGAAAATCCGGGGGTTGCACATTGTTATCTAGATTGATTTTTTACAAGTAGACTGAGTCTCTTGTCCACAATCACGTTTCACTCATGGCCCCCTTACCAACAACTAGATTATTGGATTATATATGAACTTATTTTAATCCTTTTAACTAATCTTTGTACCATTTTTTTTTTTTTTTGCAAAAAATAGGTTTAATTGATGATTTAAGATGAAGGCGATACTTATGAATTTTGATAGTATTATCATCCTCAACAAATCAAGGTTTTTAAGTGTTAATTTAACATTAATGCAATTATTTAGTCATTTGTAATTTTAAAATTATAATATTGTAATTAGAGCTTGACATAGTTACAGTGTGATTATCTTTTTAATTAGTGAGAATCTTCACTTGACATTTTAATAAACTTTTTCATTAAATTGATGAATGAAAAAAAATTACTTTTCTTCTATATATCAAAACCGAAATTCTGTTATATAATACATACTTTATACATTTTCAAAATTTTATTTTATTTTCTTTTATCAATTATCTTCTTTTATACTGATGTAAATTGTCGAAAATATTACTAGTAACAAATCGATAATTTTAGTCAATTTTTTTTTATTTTTAATATATTTATTATTTTAACGTAAAAATAATAAAAAATTTAATGCACATGAAATATATAAGATTATTAATAATTTAAATATAATATTAATATGTTAGGATTATTGTTTTTATTATTAAATTTTGGTTCTATATTAACAGAATTGTGATTTTTTAATTATTTGACCAATTGTATGATATTTTCAATTTATCTTATATTATATTTTTTTGGTGAAAATGAAGAAAAATAAGAATAATACAAAAATTTTAATTTTAATAAAATAATTATGATTTTTTTATATTTTTATATTTCTATTTTTATATATAACTTTTATATTATATTTTTATATTTCTATTTATTATTAAATATTTTTATTATAATTCAAAACTAATATTTTGATCTTTTATTTCTTTAACAATCAATTGAACACTTTAATTGAAATTGTCACGAGAACAAATTTAATTATTATTATTATTATTATTGATGATAACTCAATCGTGATTATTTATTCTGGATTAATGATTTTTTATCTTTTATTTATTTTTATATTTTTCCATTAATATTATTTATCTACACAAAATTAAAGGAAAGTTAAAACGAGAAAATGAAAAAAAATCTCAGTTATTTTTATTTTTTTTTTCTTTCTTTGTTTGTAATTTTTTATGAAATATAATTTAAAAAAATTAAGAAAAATTAATAAGAAAAATAGAAAAATCAATATTTTCATTAAAAAATTTTCTGTATTTTTTATTTTATTTTAAAAAGTAAAAAAATCAAAATAAATAAATAAAAAGCCATATGTGGCCGGTACTTGATCTCATCTTATATAAATCTTATATAAATACATAAAAGCCAAAAATTTTGGTAAAAAGGATAATTGTCATATGTGGATAGTTTAAGTTTTTGACATGTGGATAGCCTTAAATAATTGCCATGTATCCATTTCTTAATGTTTTCAATTTGATTTAATTTAATTTTGATTTTAACCAATTTAATTGTATTTATTTTTAATAACTTAAATTTCTCTCTAAATTAATTTTAACTATTAATTGATTTAATTTTTAACCAAATTAATTACATTTGAAAATAATAATACCCTTAAATTAAGGAAGATTTTGTTTTTTTTTTCTTAAAAAGATATTAGATTAACTAAGAATTCAGATTTTGTAATTTTGAGGAAAAATTGCATTAATTTAATATCTTTTATTATTTATTATATTATACATTTAATAATAATAAATTTTAATACATTTATGATAATGTTGTTTGATAGCAATATAAATACAAATGTTTTTTCAAAAAGAATATTAAACGAATCAAATTTGATTATTTTTTAATTTTGTTTTATTATAATTTTGTCTCATTATCTTATAAGAAATTTACTTTGTAGCCTTACTTGCTATTTTTTTTTGTAAGTTTATTAAAGTTTTACTCATATGCTTTGTTTGTGCAATTGTTATGTTTTATTTTTAGAATAGTAATTTTATCAACTATATATTTTAGCATTTTTTATTTTCTAATTTATAATTTAAAAGTGAATCTTTGATATATATATATATATATATATATATATGTTGAATGTAATATTACTAGAAAATTCTTTTCTTCAACGATGTATTAATTAATAGAGACTTAATGATTTTGTTTTATTTTTAGAGGTTACTCGATAAGATTATATTAATTTGTAAGGTTTTTTAATTAGATGTCAATGATGATTGATTAACCTGAATACTATCATGCTAGGCAGCTATGCATTGGTCGAGAGCTAAATTATAAGTATTCTCAAATATTGTATTGTAAACTAAGTCGACCTAAAATGATGTAGTTGATTATGATCTGACTAAATGTGTCTTGATTTCAATTGAAAATGGAAAAACTTATTTTCTAAGTTTATAGTGTATGAAGCTTTAGATGATAAAGGGGTTTTAGTTTATAAGTTTTACTAATCTTATAAAAATTCACAAATTTCTCAAATTTGTGTGTGAAATTTATCACTTGTTTCATTTACAAGTCCTAAAATTTTGAAAAAACTAAAAAATATATATTATTAAAACTCTTATATCCAATTTGCTATAGTTTTTTATTTTTTAAATAAACATTCTTGATTCAATTTCTTTTTTAGATAGATAAACATTTTAAGATGTCATATTGATATGCGAACAACTCATAACAAAAACACTCATAATGTGAAAATAAAAATGCTAATGGTTTGGTTTTAATGTAAGTTCAACTCCTTCAAAATATTATATATATATATATATATTAATATAAGTCATTCATCAATTCGAAGAAAATATATGTACAATTAAGTTTTAATTTTAATATATTAATATTACAAAAAGTCTTACAATTAATATCAAATTTTATTTCCATATTGATTTTTTTAAACATGTAATTTTATTTAATTAATTATTTTTATGTCTTCTTAAAATTAGGTGAATATATCTGATATTCAATTTAAAGTGACAATTATATTCTATATATTCAACATAGATTCATGACTTTGAAAGAAGTAAGGAGGTTTTAATTGTTATAAGCAAAATTGGAATTATTAATTTTGCCTATGCCTTCGGATAAGTAAAGTAACAAATTATATTGCTGATTCTTTAATAAAAATGGAAGTGCAAAAAATAAAATTATTTTATGTCTGATGGCAATAGACTCCAAAGCGATTAGATTTTTTTTTTTTGAGAAATTAAATTGTGTGTATTATTAGGTGTTGTTATAGTTTTTTTTTTTTTTTTTAATTTATATATTGGAGTTTTCTTTGGTGAAATTCTTAAGTTCTGTAATATTCTGATTTATGAATGAAATTATTTTTTTAATCAAGAAAAAAATCTATATCACACTTTTTTGTTTTGTACTTTTATAGTTTTATTTTTAATAATTAAATCAAGGTTATCTATTACATTGTAAATAAAATAATGATAAAAATTATTTAAGGTGACTTAAGCTTTTTATCAACCACTGTCAATATATTTATAATAATGAAAATAAAATTTAAATTGTTTTCTAAAATTGTATTTATATTAAAATTTGAAATAATATTATATTACAAAATGAAAATAAATTTTAAATTATTATAGATACATTTGCCCTATGCATAGTAGAAATATAAAAATTTTAAATTTTAAATAAGTAATATTTGAATTGAAAAAATAACAACTTTCTTGACCCTAATGTTTTGAAATTACATAATATTTTTAAATATTTGATAGAAATCAAAATTTGACTTTCCAACGTTATTAAAAAAATGGATGTGTTAAATTTAATCATGTATTTATTATGTCGATATAAACTTTCTAATATTTTACTCATACAATATTTTTAATGCTAATAATGCTATGTATAATGAAAATTATATTATTTTGCTTCCATAGCATGAGTTTAAAACTAATAAATATATAAAAATCAAAGTCTTTGGCAAACAAGATAATTACCCTATGTGATAGTATAATTTTTTCATATGTAGATAGCCTTGAATAATTATCATGTATCCATTAAAATTTGAGATAATAAGATTTGATTCACCAAATTAATTGTATTAATATTTAATAGCTCACATTTCTTTATCAATTAATTTTAATTCTTAATTAATTTGATTCTAATGAAAGTAATTACATTTACTTTTAATAGATTAAACCTCTTAATTGATTTTAATTTTTAATTTTAATTTAATTTTGCTTAAATTAATCATATTTATTTTTAATAGCTTATATCTCTTTT